ATGTCAAGGAAGTTGAGTATCTGAAGTGTAATTTTTGTGAAGTTTGGGGTTAATAATGTGGCCTTTTTGGCAGTTTAACTAAAGGTGTGCGGCTGCTACCGTGAGGAAATATCTGCCTGAAATTACAATGGGGTTTAATGGAGGCATGTTGAAAGTTTTTGTCACTTCATGCCCTCAAGAGGCATTTTCTTTAATTATTTTTGCTTAATTATTTGTCATTTTTCAAGCTACGAGATGTTTTCCTACGTTTGTCATGATAAATTATGTCTCAGGAATGTAGGGTTTGGGAATTATGGCAGTTTAAAAAAAATATATGAAGGCAAATTTCAAGATGTTCTACCCTCTAGCTGTGACATCACGCACTCTAGTTAATGTTAAAATCTGAAGAAAACCTCTTTAACAAGGTCTGAACAATGTTTAATATCTCTAAACAGATTTAAAAGTTGTTTTACACGAATAATGTCAGAAAGATGCTTAACATTTTAAAGTTAGAATGAGGTTTCTGAGTGAAAGTATGAATGAACAGTTAGCAGTTGAAGTCGCATGAAGATTTGTTGAAGTTGAAGAATTTCTCCATTGACTTCAATGGTTAAAAATGTGATGGATTATGGGATGTATCTCTGGAATTATGAAAGTTATGAATGAGAAAAATAATAGCCATCGATTCCCGACCGAGCTGAACGTTTTGATGTTTGAACGGAGTTTCTGCGATGTTCAATGCGGGAGGAGAAGAGGGCCAAAATAAGTCGGCGGAATAATAATAATAAACTTTTCGTGCATAGAAAACAGTTAGTTAAAGTATATTTTAGTGGGAATGCTGTTAACAGCATTCCCACTAAAATATACTTTAAGTACCAAAAGTAAAAGTAGTCGTTATGCGGAAGGGCCAATTTAGGCGCCATATATTTCAAATGAATGTACACTGAACAAAAATATAAATGCAACACTTTTGTTTTTGCTCCCATTTTTCATGAGATGAACTCAAAGATCTAAAACATTTTCTATAAACACAAAATAACCATTTCTCTCAAATATTGTTCACAAATCTGAAAAAATCTGTGATAGTGAGCACTTCTCCTTTGCCGAGATAATCCATCCCACCTCACAGGTGTGGCATATCAAGATGCTGATTAGACAGCATGATTATTGCACAGGTGTGCCTTAGGCTGGCCACAATAAAAGGCCACTCTGAAACGTGCAGTTTTATCACACAGCACAATGCCACAGATGTCGCAAGTTTTGAGGGAGCGTGCAATTGGCATGCTAACAGCAGGAATGTCCACCAGAGCTGTTGCCCATGAATTGAATGTTCATTTCTCTACCATAAGCCGTCTCCAAAGGCGTTTCAGAGAATTTGGCAGTACATCCAACCGGCCTCACAACCGCAGACCACGTGTAACCACACCAGCCCAGGACCTCCACATCCAGCATGTTCACCTCCAAGATCGTCTGAGACCAGCGACTCGGACAGCTGCTGCAACAATCGGTTTGCATAACCAAATAATTTCTGCGCAAACTGTCAGAAACCGTCTCAGGGAAGCTCATCTGCATGCTCGTCGTCCTCATCGGAGTCTCGACCTGACTCCGGTTCGTCGTCGTAACCGACTTGAGTGGGCAAATGCTCACATTCGATGGCGTCTGGCACGTTGGAGAGGTGTTCTCTTCACGGATGAATCCCGGTTTTCACTGTTCAGGGCAGATGGCAGACAGCGTGTGTGGCGTTGTGTGGGTGAGCGGTTTTCTGATGTCAATGTTGTGAATCGAGTGGCCCATGGTGGTGGTGGGGTTATGGTATGGGCAGGCGTATGTTATGGACGACGAACACAGGTGCATTTTATTGATGGCATCGTGAATGCACAGAGATACCGTGACGAGATCCTGAGGCCCATTGTTGTGCCATTCATCCACGACCATCACCTCATGTTGCAGCATGATAATGCACGGCCCTTGCAAGGATCTGTACACAATTCCTGGAGGCTGAAAACATCCCAGTTCTTGCATGGCCAGCATACTCACCGGACATGTCACCCATTGAGCATGTTTGGGATGCTCTGGATCGGCGTATACGACAGCGTGTTCCAGTTCCTGCCAATATCCAGCAACTTCGCACAGCCATTGAAGAGGAGTGGACCAACATTCCACAGGCCACAATCAACAACCTGATCAACTCTATGCGAAGGAGATGTGTTGCACTGCGTGAGGCAAATGGTGGTCACACCAGATACTGACTGGTTTTCGGACCCCCCCAATAAAGCAAAACTGCACGTTTCAGAGTGGCCTTTTATTGTGGCCAGCCTAAGGCACACCTGTGCAATAATCATGCTGTCTAATCAGCATCTTGATATGCCACACCTGTGAGGTGGGATGGATTATCTCGGCAAAGGAGAAGTGCTCACTATCACAGATTTTTTCAAATTTGTGAACAATATTTGAGAGAAATGGTTATTTTGTGTATATAGAAAATGTTTTAGATCTTTGAGTTCATCTCATGAAAAATGGGAGCAAAAACAAAAGTGTTGCATTTATATTTTTGTTCAGTGTATTATTGATTCCAAATGTGTTCATCATTTCAATGATTCAATTGGTAAAAGTGGGGTTTATTTGAATTACTGATTGTGTATTATTACTAATCTAAATCTCCAAAGGTGCTAGTAACTACTTATTTAACCCTTAGATGCACAAGTGGGTCTTTTTTTTTACCTGGTGAGGTGGTTTTCTTAAAGTATCTTTGTAATTACAATTTTTTTTATCATTTCATATTCCAGCTATTCCTCAAAAAAAATGTTTTGGATATCATGCCATTCAAATTTCACATTTACATTTTAAGAAATTGTAGTTTTTGTATTACTGCCCCAAGCTTCCATAAGTGGGTCAAAAATGACCCGCATGCATTCTCCATGGCAGTGGTTCTCAACTGGTCAGGCCTCGGGACCCACTTTTTACTTGGTCAATACATCGTGACCCAACATTTTGAAGCACTCAAATCTATTCAACAAAAAATCGTGCTGTAATATATACGCTTTTCAGCATACAATATTAATAAAAGTGAAGTACAGTGCATATATCCCTTATATCCCTTCACAGAACTAAAGTATGCTTTTAAAAAAGGTTTAATGAGATGATGGAATCAAAGCTGAACTATATAAAAAGGCACGCATGCTGAAAACCCAACCCCAGCAGGGGGGTCTGGGGGGATTCTCCCCCAGGAGATTTTTAGAAATACTAACATAAACTATGCATTCTGGTACACTCTGAGAAGAAAATAAATAAATCTATTACTAGCTACCCGACATATTAATAATATTTTATGCCATTGTTTGTTTTTCACTTTGTTCTGACATCTTGCTGCGAGAAGAGTAAAGAGTAGATAGTCTGTGTGACTTACTTTAAATTGTGGGTAAGGGTAGCTCCCATTGTTCTGTGACCTGTCAGTCATCAGACCGGGGCCGGGGGTCATATTTCATTATGTGTTGATTTCTATCTGAAGTTGTAACCATGGATGTATAAAGAAGAGTTCTACCGCAAAGTTATTCTCTGTGGGGACTTCCGGCAACAATCTTGATTCTGATTCTGATGGCCAGAAGACTCGAAAAAACATCAGCAAAGATATTTTATTGAGAAGATGATCACTATGTGACAGAAGTTTTCAAACCCATTTATGGTCTCCGGTACTTCCAGTCCAACGCCGACTGCATGCACAGCGTTAGAAAATCGGGCCTTCAAAATAAAAGTTTGACTTTTCCCCCCCCAAAAAAATAAAAATAATTCCAATTTTTTTTTCTTCATTCACACATCCGCGACCCACTCGAAACGGGTCCGCGACCCACCAGTTGAGAACCACTGCTCTATGGAATTTCGTTTTTTTGTTCAACATTTTATGTTTTTTTTCGAAATTGATAAATAGTGAAAAATTAAATATAAAATATTTCTAGTGTGAACCAAAATATAATACTAAATATTATACAAGTGATTTTTCTTAACCAAAATGACAAAAATGGCATAAAAACACATTATTCTAATACGGGTCCTTTTTGACCCACTTATGGAAGAGTGTAGGGTCCAGTCACTCGTGCACCTAAAGGTTAAAATAAATGTAGTGGAGAAAATAGTATAAAGTGGCATACTGTGAAAATAGTTCCTCAATTGTTTACCTACAGTACTTGAGTACATCTACTTACAGTCCACCACTGGATGAAAGCATTATGCACGCTTTCACAATGATTTTTTTCTAAAAGATCAGCCCCTTATATTTATATGGAATGTTTTAGCAATTTTTTTTCACAAACCATACATAGTTATGTGCAATATTCTACACAATTTATAATCTTTATATATTTAGCAGCAAATCTTGCTGCAATGCATGACATCCATGTTGTCATCTTAGTATATGTAGGATTTGAGTATATGCCCCCTCAATCCATTTGATTCTTATTGTTGATTGAATCCTTATGAGAAATGTGTTTTGTAATTACAAGCATCCCTTCAGTCCAAATGTTCAAATGTTAATATTTAAAAAATGTGGGGGGACACAGATCGAAAAGAAAGTGGTCCTAACTAATTCTATTGAATCCTGCAAGCATTCATTTTCTGTTGTAATAGCCAATTTTGAAAGAGAATGTCATGCAGTTTTAAAAAAAACCTCACAGAACCATAAATTATTTTAAGAATATGTGTTTCATAGATTAGCATTGGAAATTAGTGCAGTTAACAAAAACTAAATTAGCATTTATGATCAGGTTGCGAGAAAATATTATAGAATGCTGTTTCATAATTGCCAATTCCATTTACAAACACATCATTATTTTCTACTGCCTTTTTGAATATACTGCAGAACATATAACAAAGACCACAGCTTCTCCCAAATATGTCCTTTAAAATGGGCTAGAAAAAAAGTATTCTTAACAATATTTGTATTATTACAGTAAGTCATATTGAGTCTCATTCATACAGGTTAGACTTTTTGGAGGAGGCTTTTTATGCTAAACAATGAATACTGTAAATACTGTAAGAATCACATTTTATTTGAAATGTTGTATACAATGCAGAGTGTTATTATCAGACATTGACTGTACATAATGACTTATTTGTAGTAATACTTGGACAAAGGCAACACATTTTATACCACTCTATAACTAATAAAACAGAAGAAAACCCTTACCAACATACACAAAAAAAAGTTTCAAATGGGCTTGTATTGGGACATTTTACTCTACGAAACTATATTTCACATTTGGTAACCACTTTTAAAACTTTACACATTCAGAATTAATTGTAATTCACCACTTGATGTTATCAGAAATCTTTATTTACTTTTTCAAACATAAATGACCATGCAGAGAACAACCAACACTAAACTACAGAAACAAATAAATAACATCACTGTCAATAAACTACCACCTCTGTAAAAAGCAGCATACACCACACTCTGTCTTTGACTCCACGCTGACTGAATTCACGACGCAGTAGCTGGTTGAAGGGGACCAAACCTCACAGAAACACCTGACTTGGTTCCGTTTGACCAGCCACAGCAAGGTGTGTTGCTTCAGCTGCAAAGGGCAGTGAGAGCAGGAGGTCGAAGACGTAGAAATACAAGGATAGGAGAGGAAATGGAAGTTGGAAATCTTCTGCGTGGCCATCATGTCCTCTTCAGCCTCACCTGATGAAACAGAGAGAAAAGGAACATCATTAGCACTGAAATATACACAACAGAAACAAGTGTTACCGAGCAGATAGGTATTTAGAGGTTTGGGAACCTATGACATCGCCCCATTTCCTTCCAAATCCAGCCTGCAGGAGCAAACCTTCACTCTCAGTGACATCCCTCCCCTCTTCCTTTTTTGAGAGTTGCTATAATGGGTGACAGCTGTGGTCTGTCAATCCTCCTTGACTGTCAGCCGTTGGGGCAGGGCAGGAATTTTTTCAAGAAGTCCCTGAGACCCGATCATCAGCACTGAGTAATTCTAACTGAGCATGTGTCTGAGCTGAAGGAGGGAAAAGGCCTTTCACCTGTTGCCCTGCCACACACTTACACACATGCTCATGAACTCTGACACCCCCCCAGCCCCCCTCCCTCATCTCATAAAACAGACAAAGGCACACTCATGCTGAATGAAAACTGACATTTTCTACCATTCACTTAAATAAATATGTACAAAAATGATATCAGCGTGGCTCTTCTTCACAGTGGGGTTGGCGCTCAAGTCCCATTGAAACCACACACTTCCTTACATTCCATAAGTGGTGAATTAATATGGCGATATAAGGAAGCATGTCCTCACAAGGGGCAACAACTGGATTCTCCTCGGACACAAAGCACCCTTTCATATAGTCACAGTTGCAGAGTAGCAGGAACAACCGGCTTAACAATGGTTAACCGTGACAGAGCTACAGACACGTGACTCGATCATCTGCGCCAGAGATTTATTAGACATTCAAAGTGTGGTTTGACAAAATATTACTTTCACATTTTGTTAAATTGTGGCCTATTTAAGGTTCATTTTCCAGATGTTATCTTCTAGCAAAAAGCAGGACCTTCTGATACAGAAAGATACCTACTTTTACCTACTTTGTTTGTCCCTAAAAGTATTATATTAGATTGATACTGCTAAATAACACACATTTCCTTTATGGGTAGGCCAAAGCGATGATGCTGAACTCCCTTGTGTTTAAATAACTCTGGAGGGTGAAGCAAATTCTGACTTCCAGCAGGCAAAGGTCAAAATCTGTGCTATCTCCTAAAACATTATGTCATGCCAAGTTATGTTGATCCCAACAACTGTGTAATTAAGTCCTTTTGTAGGAACATACATAATAAGAAAGCAATGTTTAAATGGCTCACATTTGAAATGCATTCGTACTCACCTTTATTTAATTCTGCTGCGTCTCCTCTTGTGGTTTTCTGCAGCTGGAGTTGAGCTTGAGGCCACTTTGGGTTCAGCCTGATTCTCCTACTCTGTCTACTGGTGACTTCCTCAATACATGCTGCTATTTCAATCTGACCAAAATGGCCATTAGAAAGCCAAACTTCGACTCTGATTCAACTGTGATGATAATTTCCTGATTCTTTCCTGTATCACACCTCAGCTTCCCCTAACCTGACAGAGGTGTCAGGCTCTGCCACCGTGAGTCTATCGTAAATCTTACGAGAAACATTTGCTTTGACGCCTGATTTCACCCACATGGTGCTGCAGATCATGAAAACTAAGGACTAAAAAGTCTGCAACATCTGAATCTGGAAGACCCTTGACTCAACAGATGTCACTATCCATTATGTGGCTGTCAAATATTAACCTTTTGGACTAAACCAACAAATTAAAGCTTGGTAGAAAAAGTTGTCCAAAAGCTGGGTTTAAAATGAAAACTAAAAGCAGAAAGACACAAAAAACCCACCAAACCCTGAGAACAACTTAACTCCTTGTCCCTGAAGCTGCCCTTTCCACCATTTGAAGCCCAAACTCATCTCTCCCTGAGCTTCCTACTGCCTTCGCCTCTCTTCACCTCCTGCGATCAACCATCCTCCTCCATATCTGGCCCGGTGGATTGTGCTCACTACAGGCCTGGCAGACCGGCCTTTTCTATCCCGCCAGGAGCGCCCCCCTCCAAAGCGGCCTCCCACCTGTTGGTGTCCTTTAGAAGCCCGGGCCTCTCCTGTGCCTCCTGTCCGGCCCAATCAGGACCCTGACAGGGGGGAGCCAGCCTGTGAAATCACACCTCTCAGCTGTTCGCACTAGGCTCGAGACACCCTACACCCCTGCCGTTCCTCTGTTCAGCCCCTCCGCCCCCCTCCCACCCAGCCTCGATTATTTTTTTTTAAATGGACAAAAAAAAAAGGGGAGAAAGGGGGATACAGAGAAACAAGGAAGCAACTGCACGATGGGCGTGTTTTATTGGGTTTGGGGGTACAGTCAGAACAGCAGTTACAGCAGGTCACAGCTGAACACTAGCTTAAGTTTCATCCAAGTTCGGTTTCTGCGCTTCCCTCTAGTTTCATTGTGTCCTTTTCAGAGAAGGAAAAGTGACTGTTGTGTCAAAGCATCTCTTACATTTTTCATGTGACGACCTTTGTGAGGCAAATACAAGACAAATCAACCAAATGTGGTGTGTCCTTTAATAAACTGTAACGTAAGCCTCTGATAATGAAGCACACTTAGTGATATGTGAGGAGTGTGAATATGTTTTATGGGTGCTCTTGTGGCACCATAAAAACAAGCAATACATTCTCGGGTGGCCCCAAGGTGACCATCTTGCCGCCATGACACTTAGAAGGAAACACTGATGTAATATAAGATGTGTTTGTGGAGAGGCCAAATTAAAGAGATTGTTAACTAGAGTATGTAACTAAAAGTTTTAAATTAAAGGGCAACACTTTCTCATCAGCCATTATGAACCACTTAGCCACAAGTTTCAGCTTTTTTTTCATCGCACTTGCTAATTATCTTCTTAATGATCGTATAGAATGTGTAGATCCTTATATGTGTGGCCCCACGGTGATTACAGATACTGTAGAGGGAAACAGGCCGAGCTCAGGGGTTCATTTTCCTCTGCCGCAAGCACAAGCCGCTCTCTAAGGTCAACACCTGTGTTCTAAAACCAGCGCTGGGGTTGGGTGTGATAGGAACCTGGGCCTCATTCACAGAAAGCTCCAGCTCAGAGAGGAGGGCTTATATTGAAACTTAAAACTCTCGCTATTTTCGAGGCACTCGCCGTCCACAAATAGCCACCCCATCGCATCTTTGTAGCTCCCGTTTTTGCTCTGCGACACAGGATGTTGTCTAAATTCGACAGTTGCTTAATATTTCCCATGGCCCAAAGCCAGAGTGTATCACAAATGCAACATTTCCACTAATGTCAGCTATGCGCCAAGTCTCTGCCCGATATATCTGGGGAGCTAGGAATATCCGAGCACTTTTGTTGTTGAGTGAATTCTTGGTCGCTCACACCGGACACAATGGTTAAGACTTAAATAATAATCCCGCTGTTCCTCTTCACTGGACAGCTGATCACTGTCACATACTGGCTCAGAGGCCGACAAACAAAGTCTAATCATCTGTTTCTCTTTCATCATGTGTCATGCAGAAGATCTCCTCTTACTCTGTGATTTTCTGTCAACCCCTCCTCTTTAATGTATTCAAGCGACAATCATCATGATCTGGTTGTCATCAATAGATATATTGATTCCCGTTAAAACTCTCACAAAACACATCTAGAGTATAAATGTGATTCACCGTTAACATTGCACTCCTTTAAAAGTTGACTTTCAAGACCAATTAAGCCAAATTGGGAAGAAGACGGCAGGGGATCAGCGGTTGTGTTGCATGTTATCTACAAATTGGGTCAGATGGGGTTATTTTTAACCCGTGTTCACATACCGGGGCCCCCGTTTGCTAATCACTTTGTTCCCCTCTGCCATAGCCATCTACCCCGCTGCCAATGTCCCACTGCTTCTGGGGAGGTCACAACACACTTCTCTTGGCAGGAGGACATCATTTCCCTCGGGACAGCAGGTAGGAGTTGGACTGACTAACCCCAGAGCAGTTCCTTCAGCAGTGGATAGCATGGATGTCTATTGGTATAAATAAACCGGCAGCTGACACCAGATCAGGTCCTGCACATGCACAGGATGGGACAACCTTGCAGATTAACCCCTGGTCTTGGGAGGAAACTCCCTCTGGGGAGTGGAGAGTTAACCTTACGTTTCACTTGAAATTTGAGTAAAATCATCCATTATAGAACATATCCTGTTTGATTGAGGTGGATTTTGCAGTGAAGCATGACTGAAAAATATGTTAGAGAGTAAGGTTATGTTCCCAGTGATGTAAAGGTAACTAAGTCCTTATACGCAATCACTGTACTTAAGTACAATTTTGAGGTATTTGTACTTTACTTTAGTATGTCTATACAATTAACAGCCAATGTTTTATACCACCACATATATCTGATTGCTTTCGAGTTAAGAAAATACAAAACGTCATCAACAAATAATCAACATATTGAACAGATAGATGTTTTTGGTCCCTTGCCAAAAGTCAGAAGACGCCTGTCAGTAAATAAGTAAAACAATAAGCTTCTCATTTACCAGTTAATAAAAGTGACATCATTAAAGTGACATCATTAAGCATAATTCCTAAATATATATTATTCAGAAATTAGCTGTTGAGCACAAATAGTACTTTTTTGTTATAATTTAAGTACACCTTGATGGCAATACTTTTATACTTTTGGAGTCTTTTTTAATGCAGGGCTTTAACTAAAACAAAAATACTTCCAAAGTGTCGTATTTCTACTTTCACTTGAGTATAAACTTCAAGTACTTTGTTCACCATTATGTCTCAAAGCTTTTGAATAGTTGTTTAACAATGAATATAAAGGTAAAGCGATGAGAGAGAGACTGTAGATTATAAAGTATAAGGTGTATTTTGTAGAAGTAAACTTTAAAATGTAAGACTGTTAAATGAAAACAATGCTTCAATGAAAAACCCGACCTGTGAAAGTAAACTGCTTGATCCTGAGAGAGATAATACCACGAAGCTGACTCATTACGTGATCGGACATTAATGCCACTCTGTCCTTCCCTGGGCCAGTTGTCGGGGCTGGGGTTGACACAGCTGCTGCAGAGAGCCTGCTCCCGTGTTGTGAGGCAGCAAAGCACAAAGGTCAAAGGTCACCGGCATTTAGGCTAAAAGAGAGAACAGGTGATGGAGAGGTGAAGGCGACTCACTCCCATGATTCACAGAGGAGTCAGAAGGGGGTTTAGTATTTTTAAGGATGAAAGACTGGTAAAAACAAATTGTTCTAATGATAAAGTGCAGATCTGATTACATTTTTTTGTAACTATTTCATATAGAATTCCATCAGGATATGAGGAAAATATTCAATAACCACAAAATCAATATTACGTGCGGTAAATAAATAGATTTGAAAGTGTGCTCATTGCTGCTTAATTTTGTACAAATACAACAAACTACTTGTATAATAAAAACAATCAAGGAAATTATTCCCAACATAATTTTTGGACAATTTAAACATTGAAGTGAATTCAAAACGCACTAATGAGTACACAAAGAATGAAGCTTACATTTTTTAGATTAGTCTCTGCTGATACTGTCTTTCAATTAACTCAAAACAAAACAGAGTATAAATAAGTGTGTCGCTTAAATTGATATTGTGATGACGATACAAACACATTGTAAAGCCTTATTTGCCATTTTGAACAAAAGGTAACCCCCTTGATTACATTTACTGTAGGGATAATTTATATAGATTCCCTGTTAGGCTCTGATCTGTTACTTTGCCTCTGAAGGTGTTACAGCAGGAAACACGTCACTTTTTTCTCACCAACCAAACAATTAAGGACATAAAAGAATTCTGGGTGTCCCACAGGGGCCTGTGTCCCTCTTTAGATGGCCCTGCTGTAATAGTCAGGCGGCCCCTGAGTGACCGGGGGACAGGTGAGATGCAATGTGAGGGATCCCTGTTAACCAAAGAATACAGGTCAAACCAGAGTGTGTGTTTTTCTCACGAATTAGGTAGCCCTTGTATAAAATCTACGAGAAAGACAATGTTTTAAATGTTATGAAAATCCCTTAACTGAACAAATGGGTACCACAGGCCCACAGACAAGGACAAAAGCTCTATGTTTTCATAAAGGTCTTCTAATCCTTGTAAAAATGTAACTCAGCATTAATAATTGATGTATACTAATACAACACTGAGTACATTGTAAAACTACTTTAATATGTAATATTATTGTAACTTTTTAGTTCATAGAAATGATTGAATTCTATTTTTCGTGATCTTTTATTAGACATTTTACTTTAACTTATGTTTGTATGAATATTTGTATTCCATCTTTTTATTTAGCTATTTCTGTCACAAAACTTAATTTCCCCTGGAATGAATAAAGAAGAATGATATGCTCACAGTAGTTTGGCATATTTTATAATAATATGTGGTAAACTGCATACCTCAAAGTCTTACTGTGTAAGATACAGTATAACAACATGTGATGACTCTTTTCTCACAGGTTGTCATTTTCCTGATCATCTCTTAGAACATGTCCTTCTAAATATGAAGTATTTGTTATTATCTAAGGAAAATAAAGTTTTGCTTTCCGGTCACTTGTCATCTACCCTTTAGGCACCTTTGTGAGAAAGAGATATATCTTATACATTATCATCAATTAAAGCTAAATACAGTTTTATATCATACAACTTTTCTCTTATCTTTAATAGTTTTTTAATGTTCTCTCTTTTACGGAATGGAACATATTATTACATGATCCTTCACCATGGAGCTGGATGGATGAATGTGGAGCAGCCTGGCACGTGTGTGTGTGTGTGTGTGTGTGTGTGTGTGTGTGTGTGTGTGTGTGTGTGTGTGTGTGTGTGTGTGTGTGTGTGTGTGTGTGTGGGGGGGGGGGGGGGGTCGACAGTCAGCTGCCCGACTCCCACCAAAAGGAACGACAACTGCAGGGAGGCAGCGCTAACAGCAGCAGCAGCAGCAGTGACAGCGATATAAAACCAGAGATGGGGTTTATGGCGGGCAGAGAGCGGGGGAT